AGTGAATGGTAAAGGTAATGATAATGACGCACAAAATGCTACCGGTTACTCAAGGCAGAATTTCTATTAGCACTCAGCACTGACTCAGCTCTACTTCCACATGAATGACAGTGGCCCCAGCCCCCTACCCTCCTTCTCCCAGTGTCTCAAGGGTATGGAGGTCTTCCTGGGACTTTGAAACCTTAGTTTTATTAACCATAGTTTAGGATTTTATACTGAGGAGAGGTTACTCAGTAGAAATTCAGTGAAGATCACAACTGTTGTCTTGTTATTTTATACTCTTCTAGAAAATGAAGGCTAAAAGGGTTCAGAAGGCTTCTATATTACATTTTGAATAGCCCAGCACCTTTGTTCTAAAAATAAATACGCGACGTAAAAATAAATAATTAAGTGGGTTCAAACCAGAGGCTTACATTGCTTTTGAGGATATTCGCATATGATCAGCTGTTGAAAGAGTTGCAGTTCAGCTGTGCTGAGCTAAGATTTAGTGACAGGAGCACTCAAGGATCAGACTCAAAGGCAGAACCTTACTCTTTTCCTCAGTGAACAAGAAATGGGTATGGAGACACCAGACTAGATGACACGGGGAGATAATATACAGTACCAAAAGTCTTGAATGCTTTCCAGCAGCGTGTAAGACTGGTATGGCCAATCTTTAGGCCAAGATTCAATGAAGAACATTAAGAACAATTGTAGGTTCATTCTTACTTGGCAAAGCACGTCAGATTATGCTTATCTTTAACCTGTGATTATTGAAGATAATAAAATTTATGTGTGTATTTAAAATTAAGCAAGAGCTTTATTGTTTTGTTGAAAGGAATCCATAGTATGCTGAGGAGAAAGTAGCCTGGCCTGCCAAGGCCAAGGGAGGCTGTTTTTATATAAGGCTGCATGACAAGGTGAAAAACAGGGAAAACTTTTTGAAGATTTCCTCATCCTCACTTCCCACTCCATATCCTCCCACCTTACTAAATTACCCTTTTTACATCTCAATTGATGGAAAGACAAAGAAACCACTGTAACAGAGTAGAGCTGTAGAGTGTAGAAAAAATTGCACAGGGCAAGACTGATAAAAGCAAGTCTGGTCCAGCTTGAATATATGAGGCAAAATAAGCAGAAGAAAGCTAAAAATGTACGTTGATAATGAAGGACAAAGAGTATTATAAGTATCATTGCTGCAGTCTGTTAAAGCATTTGCAGCAGACAAAAGATACAAGAAGAATTGGCAAGTAGAATTAATAGAAGAGAAAGGATTAAAAAATATCAAAATTATTAATTTAGTTTTTTCATGATTATTTTAAACAGTAGCACACATGCTCTAGTACTCTGAGAGTTAGTCACTTGCACACATCTTCCTCATTGTTTTGAATGAAGCTTCAGCATATGAATAAAAGTCTCTCCTAAATAAGAGTATTTTTCTGGAATCAGGCTGAAAACAGGAATGGAGAGCTTCTTGAACAGGAATCACATTTCCAGACATAGGTCCATGTGCAACCATGTGTGTATGTGATGCTATATTTGAAAATAGTGTATGCACGTATCGCAGAGGGAGTACTTTATGTGCTTGAAGTTGGCAGCATGCTTGAGCACCCTGTTAGATTGTGGTGAGAGAGAAGGTAAAAGTTGTAAAGGAGAAAGAAGACACTTGTGAAAGGTTTAGGCATTTTTCCAGATTGCTGGTACACTGTAGTGTGCTTACTATTAATGTTGCAACATGTTATGTAGACCCTTCAGAGCAGAATTCTGCTCGCATATCTGATATGATTTTGAAAGTCAGACTTTGCCATTTCCAGGTCCAGGTAACATTTTAAAAAGAATAACTAGCTTTAATGAGAAGAAATAGAATTATTTTTATTTATATTTCTGAGGGAAGGGAGATAGGGGATAGATGGATAGTTTGACAGCAGGTAAGAAGCCCTACACTCTAGGTTTTTAGGGAACTAAACCCTAAGCTTTAGGAAAAAAATCTTAATTTAAAAAATAACTCATTACTAACTGATTCATTTTTTTAAAGATATATAGTGAGAATATGTTTGGTTTTAGTAAATTAATATATTTAAATTAATAACTATTTTGGAGACAGAAAATATTAACTTATGGAGGTCTTGCTGTAAGGATTAAATGCAATACTTTGACTATTACCATAGTCCTATAGAAAATAATGAGAAATTGAGGGAAACATTAGAAGTATGCCTTAAAAAGTTTAATTGGATTCTTAAGTTAACCTTATTTGAAATTGAAGCTCAGCTCTTTTTTACCTCTCTCTTTCCTTGTATTTCTGTAAAGTCAAGATCTGCAGAACATTTTAGACACTACAGTTTCAACTTTTATATTATTTTTAATTTTATTTTGTTTATAGGCTTTGTAACTTATTCACTCAGTCTAGATATATGACAAATCTTAAATAAAGAAGGTGCTCATGACATTCTTGGTCTTACACTGCTGTATGAACAGTGTTTAAGTTTAGCTGAATATTAAAACTTGAGGAGGATTATCCAGATGATATCTATAGATCAGTGGTTTTCAACCTGTAGTCTGCCATCTGGGAATCTCTGGATTATTCCTGAGTGGTCTGTA